TCTCAGTCCAATTAATATCAGGTGCGTTAAAGTCTCCTATTATCAAGCACCTGGTATTATCACTCCAAAGATGAATGTGCTCTAAAACAAAGTCATCAGCTAAGCAGATTGGGCTCCGATAGATGACACCTAGCATAAATGTACTACATCCTATTGCCAACTTACAGCTAATGACTTCACAAGTGCCGCTATCATGGGATTCGCTAGTAAAGGAGCGGATATTTATGCCATTAGCGATATATAACAGGACGCCCCCTCCTTTTCTACATCTATGTCTATCACTCCTGATGCAATGGTATCCGGATAATTCTGGAGTAATGTCTAAGTCATGGACCAACCAAGTTTCTGTCACTGCTACTATGAGTGGCTTTAACCTGTCTACTATTGCTTCTAGTTCATAGAACTTATTTCGTAAACTACGAGCGTTGGCATATAAAACTCCTAAGTAGAACAGCCTATCCACACAGGCCTTGGTAGCATTCGCTTCCAAGACCTGACTATCCGAAAACCCACTAACCGGAGATTTTCCTCGCCGTTTTGCCGACGGGTTTCAAGTTCAGCTAGTGCTTGCTTCCTTTTTATTCTATCTTCGAGAGGCATGTCAGGTCTAACTCGGATGTCAGAATTGTCGTGTCGACGAGCGCTACTTAACAAGAGATCCCGTTGCTTCTCCGATCCTAGGATTACCTTAAGGAGTCTGCATGGACGGGGTTCAACATTGTCCTCGGTCCTCTTGCCTATTCTTATCAATTTTTTGACCTGAACTCCTTTGGAGTTATCTGGTAAAATACTACGAATGTATTCTCCTAGCTTTTCTAAGTCATGCGCGTGTCTAATTTTCGGATCAGGGTCGTTTGACTCCCGCAATTTGCTCACAATAATATTCGATGTTATTAGATTTTTCTTCTCAGTCACGCCAGGATGGGTTTCACTCTTACCTTCAGATTTTGGTAGTGCAATTTGTGGCTCAAAATTTGGGTCCACCAGGGAGTTACTAACTACCTGTGTACTGCCTACAGCTTTTTTCTTTTCTGTTCGTTTCCTACGTACCGTATTCCATTTTTCATCCCTCATAACACTGGGACTATTTGGAACGGTGACTGTTTTATCCAGATCTTCGGTTTCCATTAAAGATGCATTATTAACAATGTCAGTACCAGATGGTACTACTCCCCCTGTTAATGTCAACGAAGATTCCACTTTTACGTCAGTCAGAGTCAATTTTTTGAGGCGTCGCGTAACTGCAGGTACTACACTGACACATTCGTCGCTGTCAGTGCCCGTGTTCTCGGCGCATATGACATCCTTCTTTTTACAGGCCAAAGCCAACAGGCTCATAGCCTCCTGTATTAGTAATGCCTTGTTGGCACAGCAAAACATGCAAAGCCAATGTGAGTTAGGCTTCGAGCATCTTTTGTATGCGGTGGGACTTAAGCGGGTGCACATTTTGTGGAACCACTTATGGCATTCGTCACACTGCATCCCCTCTTCCACAGGGAACAAACAGTTTGGTTGCCCACATTTGTGAGTCTTACCAACCATTTTGATTCGATTTAAAAGGTTTAAAAACAAAAATGATAACAATATGAATACAAGTGTTAGTCAAGGACTAAAAACAGGTACCCAGGACAAAATGTAGCAAAAATTTCAAACTTTAACCAAAGAACTCTTAGTTAAAGTAGACCAAGAATGCTTTTTAGTGCAATAAGTACCAAAAGCAAGTATAATCACAACAAGTACAAAATTCACTGCCCTTTTTGAAATTCGCGCAAACCAGCAGGATACTTTACGTATAGGTAAAGAACTATTGAAGTTCATACAAACTATAGTTGGAAATAATAAGTGGTCATAGCCTTCTCATAGCTTTAGGAAGGTGAATTATTGATGCTTTCGATACACTAAGTGATTTCCATCGTGTATTGTCCAACCAGTTCAAACAATATAGAAGTACTCATCGGTGTTTCATGGGTAGCACTAGAAATCACGTTGGAACGAGTCATTTATTGGTAGCGTCTTGCCAGAATGCACCTAGCCACGTACTAGCCGTGGACTTTACGTGGTGCGCTTTTTATAACATTCACAACATACCTTCGATCCAATTTTGGGGAAGGTGCTATTGAAAATTATATTAATAGAGTGCGTCAGATGCTATCATCTAATATCGCTGCGTTAGCTTGCAAAGTGTTTATGATCCACAGTGTGCTGGATTTTGCGTGTTCTGTGTCAGGAAATCCCGATAAAGACTAATGTTCACTGGTTTTTTCCCATTTTGAATCACTTGTGTAGTAAAGATGTCCATCTTCTTATCTCTGGCAAAATATGTTGCGAAATGACTCATGATAATCCATTACTTTTAGTTCCAGTCCGTGTCTAGTGGAGGCAGTTATCCACTTCAGACAATGAACGGAGAGTTGCGCAAGATCATGGGTCGGTTGAAGTTAGACATTAGCACCATTTGATGTCGGCTTAGTGGTCTAGAGGTTAACCATTCGCGCGAGAATCCAAAAGTCATGGGTTCTGGTCCTGCGTACAGGATCGTGGATGGACGCTGCCGAAAAGTCCCGTACTGGGACGAAGTGACCATCTAGTGCTTCCAGGTTTTCAGTGGTGGTCTAGCTTAGATCGACTCATAAATTCAGTCGATGAAGTCTCATTTTCCCCCTCGAATTATACTCTTTTGTTCTCATTTCAACTGCTAATGGCCTAGTGTTTTGAATGAATCAAGCTACGTTGTCCCTCGAGGTCTTACTGTGCCAAACCATCTCAAGTATAAAGTATGTCGTGAGGCATGAATATCACTCCTCTGACTTTCAGGCCTTAAAAAACCGTTATATTGTTTGACTAGCGTCAAGCAGTCCAGTCTTGCTAAACACAGAGCAGGTTCTACAGGTCGAATCCCGCCACCTCGCTTTTAGAATTTTACGGTAAGCTTCAAAGATAAGTTTGCTACTTTGCGTGATTACCTCCAGACTGTCCCGCGCCGGCCTTTGCAGTTCCTCTGAAAAGTCGACTCAACCCCTAATAATCAACTGACACCTAGTGTTAATTATTTTTACAGTCAGCAACATTCGAATACACTCCGTAGCCCATCTAAAACAGAGCAGCGGTCGCATTTTGTCCTAAATTACTTTAGTACGCCCAAAGTCGTTCATAGTATGTTGTTAATCGTTATTAATGACATTGTTACTTGGTGTTTTATACATCTGCGTTACATTTTGATTATTATTGTTTCTTCGTGGCTGCCAAATCTTCATATAAACATGTTGCTGTCTCATATATAACAGTTAAGTAAATAATCATGCTCATTCACATTGTACGTGTTGTGAAGGTAACTAATGCACAGTTAGACGTTTTAGGATTATCGGTAGTAAGGCCCATTATACAATTTAACATGTGAGGCAAAAGCGTCTTATATTTTTGAAGCTGTCAATTAGATTTCAAGTAAGAACAGTTATGAACTTACTCGACTTTGATTAGGCTGCTAGACAAAACTAAAGCAAAGAATGATACAACGTAGAGTCTGGGACATATGCATCGGTCTAGGTTGGTACACCATATAAGCACGAGGGGATGAAATTATCGAGATAAAACCAAAAGCAGTAGTGTCACTGACAGCGAAAGTGATAAATATCGGGAAAATAATCTTGTTCCATAGATATAAAAATAGACACTACTTCACACTGTTATGTTTCGATTCTTTTTCATTTCCAAGTTCTCCATTTTGTTCAGCACGTCAACAGATTTGAAAATCAAACAACACTCATTCTTTTTACTATGACTTAAGCAGTACGATGTCATTAATACTTCTGACTTGACAGTTTGTAGCTTTGTAAATGGATCTGTAAAATGTTTCATACCATATACAAGCTTTCACGTTTAATAAGTGCGAATAACACGTAGCAGACTATGACTTAATTACAATAATTTCAGTCTATTTTTGTACATTGTCTCTAAAGCACTTCATACACCGATAGATTAGATGTTAAGTAATAAGGTTTTTTTAACTGAATAGTTTCTAAATTTTTTTATCTAAATGAAACGATTTTTGAGACAGTCATCAATCCTTACGACAAGGGGAAAATAGATACAACTATTCGGCTAAAGTCCGTATTGGCGAGGATATTCATGTTCATTTAAAGACATTAAAATCCTTGAGAAAATTTCCATTTCTAGATCACCAAATTACAGTCATTAAAGTTATGTCCGCGTCACGAGGATTTTGTTGCATATGTTCTTATGTGAATATGTAGATCTATATAATGCAACACTGCTGTTACACTAATTTTTTAAGGTTCATGTCAACTGCTTCCAAAATCACTCTAGGAGTTTCGTGTCTCTTTACATTGTCGACATTTGCAGGTGTACATATTTCTCAAGCTCTTGAACGTGAAGTAGGTTGCTCAAATTACTAAACTCAAGTTTGTAGAAGCTTGGTGAGAACGTGCGCCGTGAAATAGAACGTGAAATCCAAGAAGAAAAAAGTTCCGTATTGTATGTTTCTTTGCATAGCTTTATGTTTTAGATCTACCAGTGATGAACAACTCGATGGCTCTAAGTGATACAAGACTAGTATCTGATGAACATTGTCTTTCTGTCAGCGTTTCATTCGACAATCCAAGCTTCGCAGAAGTTGCCATGCGCTCACTTTCCGTGGATCCTTCTCCTCCACGATCTACAGTTAAAGAACAATTAAATCAAAAGGGGTCCGACCTCATCTGTACATTTTTCGCCCCTGTCAGTGTTAGCAATAGAAACCAGCAGTTACGAAAATTGCGTATTGCTGTTAACAGCTGGCTTGATAATGTCATTTTGGTTTCAGAAACAATCAGTGCGTTTGGAACAATGGACTCAAATTTTACATCTGAGCGAGCTATTAATGGCTTTTAATTAGTTTTATTAGTTTTCCGCAATATAATCTAGTGATACATATCAAGTTTTTGATTTGTACTCATAAGGCACATAACTAGATAATCTCTTCTTTTTTAAGCTTTTTTTCTATCATGGAGTATGATAACGTTTTCCTGAGTGTTGCACAAAGCTGTGACAATGGAGTACAGGGATTGCTGGACGCCTTTTTCGGCTTCCTTTCCAGACGAACAGATTTTTATTATGGAGCTACTGAAAAAGATGCGAAGCGTTTAGTTCTTGAGAATTTTGCAAAACACCGGGTAAGTTTCCATTTTTAGGGTTACAGTTCTCCAAAAAGTTTCTGTTTTCTTTAACTGTATCTTTGATGCCCAATATTGCTACGCATACTATTACTACCTCTATCACTCTGAGGTTTCTTGTAACAATGTTATTTATGATTGACTAACAAGTTCAATGCAAAGTGTACATAAACTAAAGCCAAACTAGAGGAATGTTATGATAAATGTATAATAAACAACTGGCTGGAAATGAGCATAAACATACTCAAAAGTTGTTAAACACGGGAACTTATCTAATTATATGTAAATACCCACAAAGAATGATTTGTATGGAGAAAATATCGATCAATCGTAATCAGTATAAACTCCACATGAACCTTCTTTAGCTAGTTGCCATAACATAATATAACGATAGTCACCTAGATGAATAGTAGCAAAGGGGGTAGAAAGAGTTGTATTTTCAGCAACAGTTAAAAAGATTGAACCTCGAAAATGTGGTTCAGGGGAACACGAATTCATATAGTAACAGATAATTTTGGAATTAATCTAAAAGAAAACTAAATGTACATGTGCCAGTAGACGGATTTGGGGCCACAGCTATTGAGTGATCAAACTTAACGTGTTCATTCTTAGACAAACTTAGTTGTTATGATTTCACAATTTGCGAAAGAGCCCGATTTATTATAGTTAAAACAATTAAAGGTGCGGATCAAGCTATTTATCTAAATATTTACATTACTCATTAGTACGTCAGATAAAATGGCTTGAAATCGTTCTAAGTGTCCTGAATGCATTTGCTCTTTGTCTTCTTTTAGATCCTAAGCTTTACAATTACCTGGTACTTATTATCGCACGAATTCATTTTTTCTGCTCGAATTGTCTGTACCTAATGTTTTATACTACTACTGCTACTACTCATAATGTTACTACCCCTAATACTTTGTGATTTCTGTTGACAATTTCATCTCTCTGTTCTAATGTGATGTAGCAACTTGAACTGATGCACATATGTGCCAGACCTCACGTTGCATATGACGGACTGTATTCGATCGTATATTGAGGAGAAAATAGTCCCCGGTAGCTACTGACTAATCTGTTTCATCCTGTCAGCGTTTCGTGTTACAGTAGTTCTTAGTTTACAACATCCATTCAAAAGAGTAACGTATGTCGAACTGCTACTTTATGACTCATGCAATATTATATTGTGGGTGAGTTTGGGTACAGAGTTAACCAACTTTAAGTGGAACAGCATTAATCGCTTGTAAAGTTCCAGTTGTTTTTCGTTGCACGGTTCTATACAGCCGGCCTATCTTAACGGTTCATTTTTTTCCAACAACCGTGAATCAATAATATGTGAATTACCATTCTTGAGACTTTTCCCTGTACGAGTATTTTAGTCATATGTATTGCTTTGATCGTTAGACTGTTCATCACTGCTACTCAAAGCCATTTGATGTTTTTTTCTGGGAATAAATAGGATGCTGCCTTAGCACGTCGTGAAGAAGAGAAGAAAGAATTACATGAACGAGATGAACGCGAACGTAAACGAAGAGAAGAAAAAAAGAAAGAAGCCATTAAGGCGAATCTTGCCCCTCCAAAGGAGTTAAGCAAAAGTTAGTGGTGTTTTTTGTCAACTGTAAGCAGTACAATAGATATGAGTAATGCAAATTACTAAATTTATACGTACGTACATTGAAATCTTAAGTCATTTTCACTACTATTTAAAATAACGATATCAATCAGTTTGTCAAAGTAAACCTAATGGATTGGAGTTCGTATACTTAGATCATGTAATGTTAGAAAACCAGTAAACCATAGTTACAGTTGTGTAGACTGCATGTATAATAGAATGATCGATGCTATTAACCTCCAACTGCTTAGACGTCAACACCTGAAGAGAAGCACGTGATAAAGCGGACAGCTAGGATACAGCTGGACGATCTAGACTTCGCCCCCAAATGCCCTGGTACGGCCGAGAGTGGGGAAAGTTCGCTCTCCCTCTCCAAATGCTCTCACATGGCCACGCGTATATAGCCTCCGACAAGGAAGTCCTACTCACTGCCTTCTCGTGGCGGAGGTGTTGTTTACAAAAATGAGAGGACGAAAAGCGAATGTCCGGCGCTTTAACCGGATTCCAAACCAATGGTGCACATGGGCTCCAGTATCCTGCGGGAATAAAAGGCGTATAAACCAATTGTTGGTCACCGGCTTCCATGGGACTGCATCTCCTTACGATGCTCCACTGCCTTGTGGATCAGACCTTCAGGTCGAAGGCTCGGGGCGTGGTCCCCTAAGAAAACCACCTGCTTCGGTTTGGGCACCCGGACAGTATCACAGCCCTCACACATATCAAGTGAGATTTGTGTGGCGCATATGTATTTGGTGCCTCCTTGTACCAATATCTATGTATTAAAATAAAATAAATAAACAAATCGCAGATGATCTGGATCTTCTATCGTAAACGCAACAACAAACGCAGGAGAAGACGACCAGCGTAGCAGCAGTTACAGCAGTAGTAGGTCTCAATACACACAGAGGGAAAAACAAGATTCTCCGAAACAACACAACATGCAACAATCCAATCACAATTGACGGAGAAGATTTGGAAGATGTATAAACCTTTACATATTTGAGCAGCACCATTGATGAACACGGTGGATCTGATGTAGATGTGAAGGTGCGGGTCGGAAAAGCAAGAGCAGCATATTTACAAATGAAGAACACCTGAAACTCAAAACAACTGTCAACCAACACAAAGGTCAGGATTTCCAATACAAATGTCAAGACAGTTCTACTGTTGTATGGAGCGTAAACCTGCAGAACTACGAAAGCCATCATGCAGAAGATACAGGTGTTTATTAACAGTTGTCTATGCAAAATACTTCAGATCCGTTGGTCAGACACTATCAGCAACAAACTACTGTGGGAGTGAACAAACCAGATCCCAGCGGAGGAAGAAATCAGGAAGAAGCGCTGTAAGTGGATAGGACACACATTGAGGAAAGCACTGAAGTGCATCACAAGACAAGTCCTCACATGGAATCCTGAAGGCCAAAGGAAAAGAGGAAGACGAAAGAACACAATACGCCAGGAAATGGAGATAGACATGAAAAAAATGAACAAGAATTAGATGGAACTAAAAAAGAAGGCCGAGGACAGAGTGGGTTGGAGAATGCTGGTCGGTGGCCCATGCCCCATTGGGAGTACCAGTCGTATGTAAGTCAGTCCAGTATAAACTTCTTGCCAAATCCTCTTGAAATGGTAGTAGTTGGAAACACTAGGATATATTTTTCAAAATCAATCATAATATCACAAAAATTCAAGCACTTTCTACATTAGATCTAGCATTTCAATAATTCTATTGACGTGCACCAGAACATTGAGTAGTGAAGCTTTATAATCTTACTATCTAGTAAAATATCTATTATCTTTGCTGTCGCTTTTTTAAAAGAAAACATCAAGTGTTATTATTCGTTTTGTGTAATATTTAGCTGTCTGTTCATCAACTCTTTCTGTCTAATTCTCATTTTCTATACCAAAAGCTGATAATTTAAACGGTACAAGTGAGGAGCCGTCAGACATGCCCACACTACCACAAACGGAAGCAAAACCATCACTTGAGAAAAGTGATCTGCCTAAACCAATCAAAGTTGGTTCGTCTCCTGATGATGAAGAAGATGAGGAGGACAAGGGAAAATTGAAACCGAATGAAGGAAATGGTGCAGATCTGCCAAATTATAGCTGGACTCAAACATTGAGCGATGTTGATATTAAGATTCCAACACGTGTAAGTTTTGTAATAAAATTGATATTGTGATACATTTTTGTTTTTCGTTCAATTGACTCATTCCAAAAACAATTATCATGAAGATAAGATTAGCGAATGCGTACGCAATGAATTATTTTGGTTATTTCAAAATAAGCTGGATCTTGATTCTCCACAAGAATTATCTATCCTATGCACTATCGGCTCATACAATTCTAATTCTTTTTACTATTCTGTGGCATTTGAATGAAAAGAAATTGTAAAGATTATTGCAGTTTGTTTTGTGAAATAAGAGTTGCTTTTAGTGAATCTTCCGCCCAGCCCCCCCAACATAATTAGTTTTACAATTTATTTTGTTTTTATAATTAGTTACCACATTCCATCAAATCTCGCGATGTCTATGTTGAATTTACCAGAAAGCACATCAAAATTGGTTTAAAGAATCAGGAGCCCATTTTAGCTGGGAATTTGTATAATGAAATTAAGGTAAGCAATCATTCCTCATTGGATATTTTATTTAGGATTTGCTTTACTTTTAAACTATGAATAAGAACTATTCATTTGGTTTCGAAATCATGTTTAGATTCATTGACCAGACAATGAATTACAGTCCACTTTCCTATCATTCTCACTTTGATTACATTAAACCGAATGCGCATTCATTTCCTAATATACTGATAGCGAATCAAAGACAAATACCACTGATCTACAACTACAAATCCATCTATTACATGTATAAGTCGAATAAAAGCTGTTCAATCAGTGAGACTTCACAATTTTCACACTATAATAATAAGGCTGCATATACTGTTGAAAATTGACTCCCTTAAATGACTTTGAAAAGAAACAGTTTCTGTTAACCTGTTAGTTCCTCATGTGTGGTGTAATAACACTTTTGCTAATAGATCTCATATAAGGCACATGATCATAATCTGTATTTTGACGGACAGCTTGCATAGCCTGTACTTAATCAACACAAAAACATAGACTAATGCTACCAATAATAAAACAAGCCATTCTATCCACTTTATGGGTCTGTTCTATAGTCTACCCAAGTTGTTTATGTTACTCATTTACTGACAAAAGTGAAATGCCATCTTTCTTAGACAACAACAGTCAATTTCATCTTTGATGTATTTTAGTAGAACAATGAGAAAACGGAGTTGATCTGAAAAATGGATATTTCCGTCATACGTTTTGAACAACATGATCACAAATATTTGTAAATGTAAACTAATAAAAGCCCATTTAATAGCCGAATAAATACAAAGTAATTACTGGAAATCATGTAAAGAAGAAATGACGTAATAATGATAGGGAAAGAATAGGAAGTTGTAACACCATACTGGGTCTCAGAATGGGTAAAGGATTATCAAAAGCGATTCAAAGTTTTTGCACTCATAAAGGCGGCTTGAGTTTCCTACTAGCTAAGTCTTCTACAAATTTAAGAATTCGTCCTTGATAATTCATACACAATGTTTTAAAAGCTTCATTAAAGTCGATTTCATGGCCCATTTCAAATGTTTTCTTATTAATTAACATGGTTTTCTATTCCTTACGTTTTTGGAAGCATTTGATATTGATCCTGAAGCCAGTCATCTAGGTGCATGTTCCACAACCCATGGCTGGATTATTCGATTGCTCCTCTCTATGTATGTGAATTGTTAAATACTGTGAGATGTGACGCCATCGTTTATATGATGTCTAAACTTGTATGGGATCACGCTCGAAGGTTCTTCTATAATATTCTACTTAGCTTCCTAGTATTTTTTTCCTCGATGGTTGATTTTAATCTATCTAAAAATGATGTTATCTGACTCCAAAATAAAATTAACAAAAGTTTAAATAGTACTATATGTTAATTTCCGGTTATATATTTACTCTGAAGAAGTGACCCACCAGCATTCTCCATCCAACCCTGTCCTGGGCAATCCTTTCCAGTTGTTATTCATTCTTTTAATATCTGGTTCTATTTGCCGATTTAAACATTATCAAAATAAAAGGTATCAACTAACTAAATGATTTGGTGTCGCTTTTTGGAATCATTATCACTGAAAGATCTTATTTAACATGAATGACAAGCCTTTGTATTTCACTGTACGGATAGTAAATATATTCCAAGAATTCCAATAGTAATGTCTTTCAGGTACAATATCTTTTGACTGTATGTAATTTGTGGTAAGTAGTATGTAAGTTATTATTTCGCTTATGGTTATGGCAACGTAACTAACGAAAGAAAAGTCGATCACGTTCCATTTACTACGTTTAGCATAGTTTAATTTTCTTTCAATGGGGTTTGTAGTTTTTTTTGTTGTTTAAAATAAGAGAAATACATTGGAAATGTTTTCACTAGGTTGAGGAATGTGTATGGAGTCTCCTGGATGGGATCACTATACTCGTCCACCTAGAGAAATCTAACAAAATGGAATGGTGGAGTCGTATCTGTGATGGTGAACCAGAAATGAATACACGTAAAGTTCAACCGGAAAATTCCAAACTCTCTGATTTAGACGGCGAGACTCGATCTATGGTTGAGAAAATGATGTATGATCAACGTCAAAAAGAGCTTGGTCTGCCAACATCCGAAGATCAGAAAAAACAAGAAATGTTGAAAAAGTTTATGGCTGCTCATCCTGAAATGGATTTTTCTAAATGTAAATTTTCTTAAGTGTATGTTAATTTGAACTGCTGACAAAACTCAGTCTTTTTGGTATTATTACATTATCAAAAAAGAAACTTTCACATTAAATATGGGTATTTTAATGTTCACAACTCTAATTTTGTTGGAGGGAAGTAAGAAAATCCAACTTGTTAATAATTTTGGTATAATTACTACTCTAATTGATTCGTCGTTAGAATAGTCTGAACTTTCACTGCATATTGAAAGTTCTATCTAATACAGGGAGAAAGAATTAGTTCGTAGAAAGAAAGATATAAAGCGTTTTTAATCTCGCGGTGTAGGGGCGAACAAAGAGTTTATACACATAGGCCTTCGTGTTCGATTCTGAGTCATGTAACCCAGAGTCTCCAACCATTAGTTACGATAATCGCGTGGACACCAACCAAGTAGGTAAACTGCATCTATCAACATGACTCAGACCAAAATCTAGTGACTTTATGGACTGATGGTACGTTTTGATTTAGTCACTCCTAACACTAGTCAGCATTGCACGTCGTGGTAATCGGTGGTTGGACATCCGTAATACGTGGCTCAACTATCTCGGTCGATGGAGATTCACAACCTCATCAACTAATGTATCATCATTCCCTAATACCCTGCATTCAACCTCACCATTACTTGCTACCCGGTGATCCCAGCAGATGCGAGCAATATTTCTGAGGCATCTGTGGTCGAATTCTAGTAACTGACGAATATCTTCAAGTCTTAATGGCCACGTTTCGCAGCCGTAAATTACAAGAGAACAAACTGCCGCGCAGTATACTTGTCCTTTTATTGATAGACGGATATCTCGCCTTCGCTACATGTGACGTAAGTTGGTGAAAGCTAAATGAGATTTCGTCAGACACCAAACCATTGGGACTGATTACACTTCCAAGACAGGTGAGGTTTTCGACGCGTTCGACTACTTCACTCTCTATCCTTAGTTCAGGTGTTGACGCAGACCAGTCCTGAAGCAGCAGCTTGCATTTAGAGGGTGAGAAGAGCATTCCAAACATTCTGGCATTGTTGCTTAGTGCTACCAAAAGACTGCATTTTATCAGCGTCTTCACCAAACAGAACTATGTCATATGCGTATTCCAAGTCGATAAGTTGACCTCCTGATGGGAGATCAATTCCCGAAAATTCAGTCGACGAGGACGGTATTTCCAGTAGTAGGTCTATAATGAAATTGAACTAAAATGAAGATAGTGGACAGTCTTGTCGGACATCACTTGAGGTTGAAAAATCAAATGACAGTTCGCCATAAGCTCCGACTCGACTGGTAGTGTTTGAGTAAAGACCCTTCACATAGTCTTACCGCCTCTATCACTACGGGATTTGAATCGACAACTGCATCTCTGTACTAATGTGGTATGGCAACTTGAACTGATGTACGTACGTACGAAGTTCTACGTTGTTACTGACTGACATAGTCTATGTACTTCTTAGGTACATATTTCAATGACAGACGCTGAAGCCAGCCTGATTTTCTCGTGTTTGCAGTTCACGAGTCTTTGTTGAGCGCCTGATAATTAATAAGGCTAATATTTTAGATGTTATATTAGTTAAACTAATCCCTCTGTGGTTACCACAGGATGGTTTTGACCCCTTTTCCTGACTGTCAAGGATAATTTCTTCACGCCTGAAGAACTCGGTTGTTTCTACCTAAAAGCATCTAATGACTTTAAAGTAGTTGGATCACAAATGTTTCCTAACATAATGGTAGTACTAAATGAATATAAACGACTGCTAGATGATAACTCCTTACAGTATACTGTATGGTAAGAGGTAATTGTTGTTAAATCGTACTACTTAGTAAACTTCCAGCTTGTGGTTGTTCATGGATTCGAGGAACTAGTGTACCACTGAATACTTTATTAATCCCCAACCGCTTATTGCAAGTGAAAACTATGATCGTATAGACCAGCGTAGCTGTACATATAAGTCAGAATACATATATATATACAAGCTAAAATCAATCCTTCCGGATATTGCGCCAACCAGTCTTTGGAAAACAGGCTTTTCCAACCATGAAGTGCTCCATTTCCTTCGTACGGATTTCTTAATGCTCCGGGTGTTCGACTCCCAGCTACCATGTCCTTGATTCGAGACATGTCTTGAGTAAAGTGCTGCTCCACGCTGAGTATACAAACCCACATGTGGTATGTAATTTACACTGGAATGAGTCTTATTAACACAACTATCCCAAATAGAGGGTGTGCTGAAATGCATCTTCGGTTAACAGGCTATTTTTAGTGAGAACTAATGGAACCCAACGACAGTTTGTACGTTCATATGCCAGTAGGGCTGTTCGTAGCTGTCTGAACCACAGTAAACGAAACTGAATTAATAAAATCATCACATAAATAAGCCATGAATTGTCAAATGGTAGCAAATATTTAACATGTTTCTGATTCTCAAGGATGATGGTTCCACCAAACGATTAGCCTACAGGAGACCCACCTACGATGTTCAAAACGTAAACTTTCAATTTTTATTTGTTGCAATACAAATGAAACTTGTTGAGATACCTCTCCGTTTGGGATGTGCAATCACCAAAACAACTTATGAAGACAAAAATCAATGTCGATTCATAGTGAATGTATGGTCAACTTTCAACACAATACTTGATGAACAATCAATGAATTTTTACAATGATAAACGCCCAGTTCTTAAATCCTAATCATTCTAACATACTAACTCAAGTGTATTATAAAGTATATTGGAGTCATCATCAATAAAGCTCCCATTACGAAAATGAACTCTACTCTAGTTGGTGGAAAATGAAAGAAAAATATAGTAGTCCGGTTCACTATATGGAAGTCAGAATTGCAGAATATAAGCACAGCGCACGAACGTTTTACTTCAACAGCACTTAACAAGTCTGGACTGTAGATACTAAACTTATGAATGAAAGATCGATAATAAGGGGATATTCATTAACGCTTATGAATTAGTGTAAATACAGCTAACATCGGAACCCCTCCTTAAATCGCTTTCGAAGGAGAGCGTTCACACCGCTTTGCCATGAAGAGAAATAAACGGTATAATGTAATTGAGACTAAAAATAGCTATCGAAAAAAAACATCATTAAAAAGGAGGTGAAGATAGTTGGATTAGATATTTTACTCGATAAGAATCTAGTGTCTAGGTTAATTATACAGATGAGAAGTAATGGTGTTTAGAAAGTTTAATAACATTCAACACTGGGGGTCGTAATATGACAAAATATATCGGGGACAGTAGTACTTAGTTACTATTAATAGTACTTAAGTGGTAATTGAGTATAGTCGGTAGCAACAATATGTACCCGACATATTATCTTCATAGATTGTGAATTACTGTGAAAAATCACTACACGATTAGCTCAATTGTCCCTACAAGTGTGTGGGCGATTGTCACTTGTTAAATGTACATAGTGTGAAATATTTTCTATTCAGGAAAATGGAAAACATGATTGGCATTTTAGGGCTTGGCAATATCAGAACTCAAAAGACAAATGCTTGAGACCACTTACACAGTATCTGTTCTGAACGGTCATTTTTTTATATATTGGATTTTAGACTTTGTCACTCCCGCCTAGAATTCTTGAGGCATGGTAAATTTCGCTATTTCGTTTTACGAACTCTCCTGTTATGTGAAGGCATTGTAGTTGAAGATGTTGGTTTTCCTCTGGAAACACTTCCTTGAAATTACAAGTAAGGACAGACCATTGTATTAGCATATGAATGACCTGTCAATGTGTGATATACTTATTTACTATAATCCCTGATAAGCTTATGCTATAGTGAAACTGCCTGTTTATTTGCCGGACAACATAAAAAAACCCACTTAAAACAATGTCAACGAGCATTAAAAAAGCGGAAGTGGAAAGACGAACACAATAATACTGACACCATTGCTGGACCTCAGTCGGATGATAACTAATGATGACAAATACTAAGTAACGTCTAGTGGTCTAAAATAAGAAGACCAAAAGACTAACTGCAAATAAACAACTTTATGGGGACAACTTACATGTTTTCCCTAAAACAAAATCATAAATAAAAGTTAGTTACATGAACAATAAAGCACACTGAAGTCAGAATTTTGATCAAGAGACCTCGTATACCAGAAAACCCATGTTGAATGTTTGTGAAAACAGAAGGTATGTACAAATCGATAGTTAATAAAAGCCACAATGACGAAGAAATGCACAACTTCAGCTTTCCAGTTTTATTTCTCCTTTGAAGCCATATGACGCATAAGCAGGGACGTCAATTTTTCAATTTTTTTGACGTCTTGAGCCATATCTGTGACATACTTTAACACCTATGCAAATACAATTTAAAATACCAACTCACTGTGTGGTTATCTGTTAATTTAACAACAAGCTTTCGGTCCACGTGTCTATACTTTGTACACATACGACACTAGAAATAAGACAGAATTTTGAACTGATTACTTTTGAAGGGTCTTCTAAATAAAGAACCTCAGCCGCCTTCGCAAACTCCTCCCATGAGTTGAAATTAGTCATGTATTGTGACGTATAGTCCTCGTGAGGTTCGGTTTGTCGTGATGAGACGTTATTGATGAATAGAATAAGGCGTCGTAACGGGGATCTGACATGAAAAGCAGAAAAAGTAAGCTGATGACAAACTAAGTAAATAGGATGCAATAAAATCTTAAAATGAAGGTAACTAAAAAGACTTATCAGTTTCAGTTTGGGAAGGACAGGAGGCTCGATGGCCTATGTTCGTCATGGCAATGGTGGTCTCTCAGTTGATCCAACTTTCTTTTGAAAGAGTCGACGGATGGAGCCTCAACCACGTGCTGAGGTAATGAGTTCCACTCGTTGATGATTCGATGGGAAAGTCGATAGTCAGTTGACAAGTAATTTGTTCTCGGCTTATGAACTTTTTTGGAGTGTCCTCGTAAATTCTCTGTTTTGGAAGACAAGAAAAATGAGGGCATATTAGGTGCAAATTTATCACTAAGCAATTTGTAGACTGTAATCAAGTCGCCTC